ACTTTGTGCAAAGTAATGCACTTCAAAACCTTGTAAATTTTTGGTACTTTACATATGCTATATTCATGTTTCAATATACCAGAAAAAAAATACCAAATTTTTCCTTCTTATAACTTCGGAAGCATACGACATTGGATAACCATCAAACAAGCAAACAAGCCTCCGGTTTGAGGAGCAAACAATTGCTTGTTCTTCATTTTCGGTTTAATCAATTTGTTTTAATCAATTTGATCTTAGCATAGATTTGAAGATAAAGCTCGTCAAAGACAAAATTTTGCTTTTGTTTTTTAATTTTTTTTTGAAAACTCGAAAGTTTATGATAATATGTGTATATCTGCATCATTATAAATCTGGTATGGTAAGTGCCGAATTGAAAAAGATGCGTTAAAATAATACCCAAAGTTAGAACATCAATTATGTTAAAATGTGCAGGCAAATAGCCAAAAATAGAATTCAATAAAAAAATAACTACGAAAGGCATGCCAATTATAAGATTATGAGGTCTAGCAGTAATTACCCTTATGTGAATTGCTCTTACAATTACTAAAGATTAGGCGCTCCGAAGAGTACAATCAATGTAATAAGTACAATGTAATAATTTAAACAGAGTCAGTTGTTAGTGAATCAGCTCAAAAATGTTAAACTCAGAAACTCTTTTTAAAGATATTTGCAGGGAACTGAATAATAATATAAAATAGGCGCAAAATCTTTATTATAGTTCTGAACTTTCAAAACATATGGGTAACTCTAAATTATTGGAATGGCAAACCGTAAATGATATATTAAAAAAAACTCAGAAAATGTACAAGTCAACGAAAAAATATCGTAAATTATTTGGTAAATTCAGCTAAAATTGGAAATATTTTTAATATAAGTCATAAAATTTGCTATTGCGGAATGAATGAAAATAATACGCTTAGTATAAATATTTTTTTAATATATTTGGATATATAGATATATTAATTGAAGAAGTTTATGAAACTATTATTTTGTATACTTAAGTAGTAGGAAATCGTGTGCAAGCGATTAGGTTAATAATTCATTACGTATTGATCTTAGCCATTAGAATGCACAGTGTGTGAATCAAAATCACGAAAGGCGCTGAATTGCTCGTAAACGCGGGTGTACCATAGGGATCTCTACTAGGACAATTTTTGTATTTACATAAAATGAAATCAATAATCTATTGTATTTTATATGAAAGAAATAATTGTATTTTATACGTTATGAATCTTTGAAATTAAAGCTTCATATCAAAAATAAAAACAATGAGTGAATTAGAAAAAAACAAGTAAAAACGTTTAAGTCGGTATAAACCGACTCAATAATACCCTGCACTTTGACAATCTGAGTTTAAAACTTTGTTTTTGGAATATTTAGAGAAAACTTTTATTGCTAAGTGGCAATTACTTGAATCTGTCAAACTGCTTAATGGAAACTTCACCAACACTATGCCTGACCTGTAATTTGACACACGACTGTCGAGTTTCATGAATCTAGCCTTAGTATTTTTCGAAATATTTAAAATTAGCTTTCGAATCTCTATGGCAGCTACCCGAACCTTTCCACCAATTCTACTAAAACTTCAGAAATACATCTGACCTGAAATTGGACACACGACTGCCGAGTTTTATTAATCTATCTTTCATATTTTTAAAATATTTAAAATTAACTTTCGGAGTTGTAGGGCAGCTACACAAACCTGTCAAGCAATTCTACCAAAACTTCAGACATACATCTGATCTGAAATTGGACAATAACTTTCTTAGTTGTATTTCAGTGACACGAACCTGTGAAACAATTCTACCAAAACTTCAGAAATACATCTGATTTGAAATTGAACATACGACTGCCGAGTTTCATCAATCTAGGTAATACATTTTTCCAAACATTTAAAATTCACTTTCGGAGTTGTATGGAAGCTACCCGCACCTGTCAAGCAATTCCACCAAAACTTCAGAAATATATCTGACCTAAAATTGGACACACGACTACCGAGTTTCATTAATCTAGCTTTATTATTTTTCCAAAGATTTAAAATTAACTTTCGGAGTTGTATGGCAGCTACCCGAAGCAGTGCAGCGATTCCATTCAAATTTTTAGAACATATGTGAAATGCAATTGGACACATCTTTGTAAAATTTGATATTAATATTTTTATTACTTTTTAAAATATTTAAGAAAAACCTCTTTGAGTTGTATGGCAGCTATCGAACCCGTTGTCCGAAATGGTCCAATTACAATAGCAGCCGTCGTTGCCACAAAAGAAAAAACTTGTGAAAGTTTGGTGTCGATTGCATTATTCAGTTTTGAGTTATCGTGCGATTGGACGGACCTGTCTAAATCGACGCAGAGCTTTATGCTGAGCAAGAATATATATATATATATATATATATATATGTTCATACCGAAGACGATTACTTCAAATGATTACAAACTCCATACCAAAGTGAATATACCCTTCATCAAGTGCAGGTTATAAAAAGGTAAGCAAAGATATCACGGTAGCTAAACTATAATGGCCTTTGTAAAAATGGCTAAAAGCCGAGTTATTTGATATTTTAAAAACCAAAAAAGCACATTCTTATTAATTCCGCAACTATGATGTTGTATTAGTAAAATTCATAATATAATTAGTGGAATATGCACAATCCTATAAATATATATGTTCTTGTTATTGTGTGTTCCAATAGTAGATTGTATGTAGCAATCAATGTAAACAAAACAAATACTTAGTAATCATGTGAATTACAGTATAAAGCAATGTAGAGAACATTTCGTCGGCAATTTCTTCATGCCTCTGTAGCTCAGTTGGTAGAGTGTCCGCCTAGAAAGCGGTAGGTCACTGGTTCGAGTCCAGTTCGAGGAGAAAAATTTTTTAATGAATTTTTCTGCCTTTAACTCGTTCCTTTGATTACGTCATCCATCTGTTCTGCAGTTGCATGAAGAAATTTCCATTAAGTTAAATTATTAGTGTAATAAGCACATTCTTATTAATTCCGCAACTATGATGTTGTATTAGTAAAATTCATAATATAATTAGTGGAATAGGCACAATCCTATAAATATATATGTTCTTATTATTGTGTGTTTCAATAGTAGATTGTATGTAGAAATCAATGTGAACAAAACAAATACTTAGTAATCATGTGAATTACAGTATAAAGCAATGTAGAGAACATTTCGTCGGCAATTTCTTCATGCCTCTGTAGCTCAGTTGGTAGAGCGTCCGCCTAGAAAGCGGTAGGTCACTGGTTCATTTCCAGTTCGAGGAGAAAAATTTTTTAATGAATTTTTCTGCCTTTAACTCGTTCCTTTGATTACGTCATCCATCTGCTCTGCAGTTGCATGAAGAAATTTCTATTAAGTTAAATTATTAGTGTAATTAGCACATTCTTATTAATTCCGCAACTATGATGTTGTATTAGTAAAATTCATAATATATCTATGAAGTTAAAAGGCTTAAAGTGCAGTGCAATAAGGATATTTAACACATTATCGAATAATATCAAGAGTTGTAAGAAAATAAATTAGTTCAAAATTAGGTCAAAAAAATATGAAAAAAATTTTAGAAACTGAAGAAACAATGTGGTTTTTAGAAAAAAATAGTTTATAAAATTAGTTTTAGTTAAAAGTTCTTATACCCATTTTTTTATGAATTTTCTGAACTTAAAAAATCTGATGTGGTTAGCACATAACCGACCGCAATGTACAATACACATAGTTAAATGAAAGTGTTACAGAATATTATAAAAATGTCTGTAAATACTTTCCAATTTTTGGACATTAGTAAGCTTATAGGTAACATACCTAGAAAAATGTAAATTTGGCTTTTAGTGGAGTTTCGCTTTGTGCTACACGTTTACTTTTGGTACCCGTTTGTGCTCGCCGGTTAGTTTTGGTAACAACCTGAACTCGAATATTAAATTTCAAAAATTCCATCAATCCGTTCGGTAGATATGGTAAAAAATGTAAAATCGTCCTCAGACCTGTTTCCGAGCCCAGATCTTTCCAAAAAAATTATACGTTCATTGTTCTAATACGAAGAATTGAAATATTGAATTTTAATTAAATCGGATGATTATTATCCGTTATATACGCAAAAATGTATATCTGGTCCGTTATAAAAATTATACGTTCATTGTTCTAATACGAAGAATTGAAATATTGAATTTTAATTAAATCGGATGATTATTATCCGTTATATACGCAAAAATGTATATCTGGCCCGGAGTAAACGTTCAGTTGCTGATGCCTGATTTCTTTCAAAGGTTAGAAGGTTTTGCGGGCGGTCGAGCGATGCTTTATATGAAATTTCAAGTAAATCCGTGGAGTATTTTCTTCAAATTGGTCAAAAATGTAAATCAGGCCCGATAAAAAGTGCAGTTTCCGAGGCCTAATATATCCCAAAAGTTGATCAATCCGTGCCATGGTCGAAATAAACTTACATATAAAATTTTATCAAAATCGTTTCAGCCGAACTTTAGATACACGCCTGCACACACAGACCAACAGACCGACCGACTGATAGACCTACAGACCGACAGGTTGCTAAAAATAGTTTTTTTACACTTCCCTACCATGGAGAAGTGCATTCCCACTGAAAACTCGATATGCAAAATTTGTTGCCATCACATAATCTACCTATTGTATACACAATAAATCTACGTGTTTGTTCGAGATAGTCTGCTCAGTTTTGGTTACTTATGACTAGTTTGATCGAGTAAGTTGAACGCAAATAATTTTAATTTTAGTTAGAAGTGTCAATAAATTGTTTACTACAATTGTTTATCATTATATGTACGTATAAGTTGCAAAGATTTCAAAACAGCGTGTCTATAAAACGGAGTATGTAGAAGCTTAGAGAAATTAAAATGCGGTAAAACAAATTTGAATTCCCTGATATTTGCTATTTAGTGTCATATTTTAAACTGCGTCAAATAATTATAATAATGTAATAAATAAATACATGCAAACACCATTTCCATTAATTTTAGTACCTGTTTAACGCAAATATTTTTAAGATAATGTAATTTTTCGGGTAGAAAAAATTGTGTGTTATTCCTGATGGTTGTTACTATTTTGTTATAAAATGAGAAATAACAATCACTAGCGATTCTATTGCTTTTTATATTTTTTTTTTCTTTCGTTATTGAAAAGTAGAAATCGTTAACCTTATATCGCTTAAGAATTTTTAATTTTTCGTTATTTATGCACTGCACGTTAATTTTCTCAGATTGTCTTGTTTTCCACATGCGAATATCATTTAAACTAATTTTCAAAAATATTATCAAATGTTCATTTTTAAGTATTTGACAGTATATTTTAGTTATTTTATAATCAACATTTTTTAATTTATTACTAATTTTGATATTAAATCCAGCACAATTCACATGGAAGCATTTTTTTTTGCTCTGATAAAGAATTTCACTATAGCGACCGTTTTTCTGTTTGTCAAAATTACTAAAACCACAAATATTATATCGACTTTTATTAAGATTGTTATAAAAAATGTTTTTTTTAACACTGTTATGAATATCTTCTCTAATATCTTTTTTGTAGTAATACTTGTTTTCGATAGTTTTTCTTATAGAACAAATGATATTGCATGTTACATCTTTGTAGTTACTATCAATATTCGTTTTAATTTTAATATTATTAATATTATAACCGTGATTATAAATTTTAGAATTATTTTTATCGCTGTTGTTTCTTTTGCATCGAAAATCTTGATAATATCGGGAAACTTCCAAAATAGATTCCACTAGTGCAACTGCCTTAAAATTTATAATAAATTCATTGCAATTTTCATGAGTTTTTGTATTAAAGTAATAAACTAAAATGTTTATCTTAGTGTTGTTATAATCCCTGCAGCCAAACCATATAACTAGATCCAAGTTAATTACGAATTCAAAAATATTCACTTTTGTTCCTTGCGGTATTTGTAGTGAAAAGTTTTCATTCAGAATATCATATTTTGTTCGATACAAAACATTTTTAATAGCGTTATCTCTCAAAGTTTTATCAATTTTATTAATTTTTTCACAATTTTTCGATAAAACTATCGTTTGGAAATAGATTTTCACATTATTTTCTGTGATTAACACTGTATTTAAATTTTTACATCCATTTTGAAGTATAGAGGAAGATAAAATTGATGACGGCTTTTGGTTCAATTGGACAATTATTCTTAATTTTAATAAAATACCGTTTCTATTTACCGTTGCAACTTTTCCTAACCTGAACGATGTATTGTCTGTTGTAAGTGCTGTTGATAAAACAGTTATAATATTTGTCGTCCTTAAGACTCTTAGCCGTTCATAAACGGTATGTTGAGAAAGAACAGGCAGCATCACAAACATAGCACGCAAATTTCATGTACAAACACATAATATGAATAAGAATAAAAATTCAAGTCGATAACGATATTTTAAACGTTTGTATATCATGAGAGTGCCTTATTTCACTACCACTATTGGAATGCGAATGCTAATCTGCAACACAAGTTTTTTTTTAAATTCCATATATGTACAAAACTTTAAAAATGGTGTACATTTAAAAAAAAGAATACCTGCTATAACTTCACAAGTATTTTATATTGTTGATGTTTCCGTAACTTGATTGAAGAACAAAATGACAAAGTCTAAATTAAGAAGAAATTCTGCAGTCTGAAAACATAAAAGAAAAGTTCTTTAATTTATTGTATATTAAATGAGAGAAAATAATGCTGCTAATTTTTCAAACCTATTAATTTTGTGTAAATTTGGACTAAAAATATTAATATATATTGATCAAACAAGCGTTGGACTTTCATCTCAAGTTTAATAGAATATCTTACATCTCAAATAGATGTAAGATGCAAATAGTTTCAGGGATGATTGTTTGATCAATTTCCGTCAAAAATTGTACTGTTGAAAAAAAGGGTACCAGATCTGTGTCGTATATAAATAAACGGTTATAACTTCGGAACCACGCAACATACAGTTTTCGAGGTCTTGTTTGGCACGCAATTGATTGTTCTTTATTTTCAGTGTTGCAATCAATTTTATCTGATAGTTTTCCAAATAAAGCTCGTCAAAGTAAGAATTTTTGTTTTCTTGTTGAAGTTTTTTTAAAGAAATCGAAATTTGTCGAAAATTTATAACTGTACTTTTTTTCTATTTATTTTTTCAACTGTACAACCCTTTCAGTGAATCCATTCAAACGGGGATATCTTAGAGTAACTGTAATTTTTTTTTCTTTATAATATTGGGGAATATAGGGGCTTCACATAGACGCGTTACCTCATTCTATTTTGGGCCATGTTCTTAATTTCTGACCAACTTTTGTTCGTGCATTCTATTTCTTTCCGCATCGATCTTTTCCAAGTCATTCTTGGTCTTCCCACTTTTCTTTTGACACGTGTCGGATCTTGTTGTGCCATACGCTGTAGCTCTGCATTTGTAATCCTTCTCGCCTAGAAAATCCCACATATTATTCTAGGGCATCTGTTGGCGAAAACCTGTATTTTTTGTGATGTTGCTTTTGTTGTTAACCAGGTTTCGCTTCCATATAGCAGCACAGATTTAAGGCACGCGTCGTAGATTCTAGGTTTTGTATGCCTGGTAATGTGGGTTGATTTCTACAGTGGCCACAACCCAGCGAATGTACTTCTAGCCTTAGATACGTTGCTGTCAACATTGCACTTAGTTCCGCAATTGGTTGTTATAATGCTGTATAGGTAATTCAATTTATCTACCTTTCCTGTTGACGTGTCATCTATATATATATTTACGTGGTTTTGGCTTGTTGTGTTTACCTTCATTAGCTTGGTTTTCTCTTTATTTATGTTGAGTCCTGTCTTTCTGGCCTACTACTTCAGTTCGCTATCGCATCTTGCATATTTAATACAGAGTGTGTGAGCAAAGCTATGTCATCTGCATAATCCAGATCCTGCGGCTTAGCTATCAACCGCCATAGTATGCCGTTATGTATGTTGTTTACTTTTCACATACACCCATCTAGAGGGGTGATGAATTCTTGTCTTACGCCAACTTTAATGGGCGAAAACTGCACGTTGGTTGTGATAGAGTACCTTTATCGTATTGACAATTTTTGAATTCATATGGGAATCCTGTTTCGCCTGAGCGCGGTCGATATTTTGTCTCTTCTACTGTTTGTTTTAATATTAATCTTAATGTACTGACTGTTTGTTTTAATATTATTCTTAATGTATAATGGCATCACTTATTCCTCTCCTTGATATGATGATAAATCTCTGATTTATGGTTTTGTCTTCTGTTATTTTGCTGCTCTGTTCAATAGGCTCATTAGATTGATTTATTTCTTCGAAGTATTCTCCCCATCTATTTATTTGTTTTTGTATTGTTTTTAGTAATTCGCCCTGCTTGTTTTTGGTAAAACTTTTCCTACTCCAAATGCCAAACACTGAAAATAACTTCTTTACTTTAGATAGGGTATCGATCTCTCTGAGTAGCATTCTAATATCACTTCAATCAGTGGCTTGTTCATCCCGGGTAACTATTGTGCTATAGTATGCCCTCTTATCTCCTATGGCCACTTTCTTAACCTTTCTACATGTTTCTCTGTGCCTATATCTTGTTGCCATACTTTCATCTGTAAAATTTTTTTTTCATAATTGGTTGCTTAGTTCAATAGTGCTTTCTTTTCTATTTGGCTTTGCTGTCCCCAAGAGTTGCTCCCTTGTTTTTCCTTTTCATTATACGTCTTGTATATTTAATTCTGCTGTAGGACCTTCTCTTGCTTTTTCTCCTAGTTTTTCCACGAATTCTCTTCTTGTTTCTTCTGTCTGTAACTTGCACGTGTTTAGGCGTCTTTTTTAGTTTTGATGTTCCTGATAGCCACCAGTTTTATCTAGATATCTGTTGTGACTAGCACACGATCGCTTTGCGCATATGCCCACCTCCACGTTTTAACATCTCGTTTTCTCATATACAGATCGTTTTAAAATACGCTTTATGCAAATATAGTCTACTTTTTTTGAGTGCGGCCATCTGAAGATACCCAGGCCAATTTGTGTATATTTTTGTGGGAAAACATTAACCCTGCAATGACCAGGTCCTGCTGTTCAAACAGGGATTCAAGTCTTCCTCTGTTGTAATTTTTGCTTTCAAGCCCGTGAGCTGCAATCATCGACCAGCTTGGTCTAATTCCCATCTTAGCATTGAGGTCGCCCATATGAATAACTATATCACCTCTAGAGATTCTACACATGAAGTTTTTCATAGAATTCATCTTTCGCATCCTCACTTGATGTTTCAGTGTGGGCGTAAAATTGTACTATGCTTATGCTACTGATACTAATACTACATTTGAATCTATTTATTATTATTCCAATTGATATAGGTTTCTATAATAGCAGACTACTCTTAAACTTCTTGCAAATTATGAAACCCACTCTATACTTTTCCTGAGATTTCACTCCTGCTTGATTCCTTCAGTATATTGCTTGAAGATGTAACTATTTCGCCATACTCAAACCATCTTACTTCGCTTATTTCGAGAATACCTATTTGTTTCTCTCTCTACCTGATTTAGAGCCAAGATTAAGATCTCGACGCTTTTTGGCTCATTCTTACCCTACGCATCATGCCGAGTGTCTTTACAGTATTTTCCTTGTTTATCCATGATTGTGTGTTGGTTTCATGAATCTATTATACTCGTTAAAAAAGCGATTGGCCAGTGCAGCTTTCTATTCGATGCCTAATAATATTTTGCTCTAGCGGCAGCTATCGGCAAGTAGATAGGCTTATCAATTATTTTTGCGTGTTGCAATTGCTGCGAGGTTGATTAATACAACACAACTATGTACTGCCATGACGGATGTGGGTAATCATATATTATATTTCTTATCATTGTTTTGGGGTTATCTGGGATAAAACTTGAAAAAACTTTAAAAAGAGAAACAGTGACGTAATATCTTCCAAAAACAAAAAAAATCCCATTTAAAAAAAATAAACCAGAGGAAAAACTTGAAAAAAACTTTTAAAAACTTTATAAATATATAATAAAAGTCAAATTTCAGAGTGTTTATCAAACATAATCAAATATTGTTTGGTTATATCAAAAACCGAAAATTTTGGTTTTTTTGTTATAAATAAGTGTGAAACTTATAACATACATTTGTGAACCCATTTTGTTCGTATTTTTATTTTTAATTGAAAAGTTTTGAAAAAAAATTAATGTTAATAAAAAATTTATTTTTTAAAAATTGAACCTTAAGACATAATAAAAAAAACAAAGGTTTCGGCAGCTGTAAGATTTTAAAAGTTTTTAAAGCACTAAATTTTGCTTTACAAAACTTGAAAAACTTTAAACATTGAGAAAATGAAAACTTCACTTTCTCTCATTTTTGTTCAAAAAGATCCTTCGCATTCAAAAAATTTATAAAGTTCTCAAAGTTTTTTAAAACTTTCTTATACGAGACGAATTATTGTTATTGGTTATTAGTATCACGTTCTTATTAAAATTTGACTTACCAAGGTAATTTTATTTTGTCACCATGTTATACTAATATTGGATATTTTTTAAATTTTTTTATTAAATATTAATTTTATAGATTATTCGATATTGGATATGACCTGCCTAGCATTTGAACCCGGAATCCTTTGGTTGAAGGGCCGGTACCTTTGCCAATGCACCATCGGACAAATAACTAAAATTTTAATATTTTTGTTTACAAAAAGCCTTTAAAATTGGTATAATGGTTTTAGGTGTTTTATTTTTTAAAGACCTAATATTCAAATATTTTGAGGAATAATCTATTATGACTATATAATCTTTTCTCTTGAACTTAAAGTATCCGTCCCTATTTTACGATTTGTAAATTAACTTTTTACGATTTGTAGTATACGTCTAAATGATTAACAAATTTTCCATTTTGCAACTAAATAATAGAATATTAATACCTGGTATGTAAAACTGTTTAGCCCTATTCTTAGGACTGTAACGTACCGTGAATTAAATAATTCTTCATAAATAGTTTAAGTACGGTATTAATACGATTGCAGTACCGTCTCAGAGCTTTCAATACCTTTACATTGTATAAGATTTATATCTTCGATTTTTTCGATACCAAATTTGCTTTTACGTATAGAACGCATTTAGGAAAAATGTACAATGTGAAGGGCTTTTGTTAAATTTTTTAGAATGTGATACTTTGTAAAGTTTGCGTCGAAAGTGCATTATTGAAGTCACGGATATTGTATCGTAAAGAAAAAGGAATAAAAATTTTTTTATTAAAGAAAACGAGATCAGTTTCCATCATTAGTTAATTCTTAAATGATTTTAAATTATGCAACATACTGCCATCCTAATAATACAATTTATTTTGACTTTGCTAATAATGGATCATTTTTTGTTTCATCCTTGCTCCTATCTGCTTGTATATAAATTTCTACGTTTGGATAAATTTGTGACTTAATTTTGGTACATTTATTATTAATTTCTAATTATTTTCTAGACAGCTCGTATAACAGATCTCCCACCAGTTTTTCGGGTACATTCTAATTAACTCTATGAGAAAAGCTGACATTGGTGGCTAAATTTGAATTTTAACGCTTGGAATTTACGATAATCTTGATTTCGGCTACTGTATTCACAGTCAATTTTATTAGTTATTTTCGCATTTTTATTATTGCTTATGCTAAAATAATTGCCAAAAATTTTTATATTTTTTATTACTGTTATAATTTTTTTATTTTCTAGCAAATATACCTCTGATGTTGTTGGAATTTGTAGATTATTAACTGTATCTCCAATTCCTTCTTATAACCTGTTTGTAACTGTTAACGCCCAATATAATTGTATCGCGAAGCTTTCTTTTATATTTGTCATCATTTTACTAATTTTTTGATGTTCATCAAAACCTCGTTAAATAGCTCACCTTCCTTGACACCTGTTCCAAAAAAAAACGTCTGCTACACTTCATTTTTTTTTTCAGTGATTAAAAGTTTTCAAATGCTTCTTGCATTTTTGAAAGGGTTTTCTTTTCATCCGGGGTCAGTTTGAATGTGTTTAAAACCTCAACAACAAATGATCCGCAGGCATTCAGGAAAATGGCTACTTGGACCGCTGCACGTTTTGATGTTAATGCAATTGCTGCCGGAAATATTGTAGAGCTCTGGTCGAAAATTTTCTAATTTTCACCCAGATTACCACCTTTACTTTCAGCTCTTCCACTTTTTTAATATATTTCTTGTTACCGCTTATAAAAAATGCTAAACACTTCTTCGGTTTTCTACGTGGTCAATTTGATTTTCATAATTCTTCTAGTAATTTTATTTCACGGAATTTTTTCATAAAATTCTAACAATAATAAAAATTCAAATCTTTAAAGATTTAAATTACTTTGACCGAAAGGAAAATTTTTTTTATTTAATGTTACTTTTTCAACCGTTATATTCAAGGAATAATGATTTGTAATTTTATTAACAATTGTCATTATCATGATAGGCACAAGGCTGTTGTATTGTTTTTTATATCATTCTTTCGTCCAGCTTAATAAAGTACCTTAACATAGCAAGAGGAAGATAGGTATGAGTATATGCATACCATACAGTAGTGTAACATTATTGTGATAATTTCAAGTACTACTAATATATATACTTATATCACACAGACCATACCGATTGTAGAACCGAAAATTAAAAACAATCAATTAAGAATAATTTGTAGATTATTATGATCAAAAAATTGTATATCTGCACCGCCACTCATATAATTTTTTGCTGTAAAATTTGATTTAAGAATCATCTCTGAAATTATTGGCTACCTTATGCTAACGACCTTAAATACAATTTGTTAAAAAACAATATTAATAAAATAAGGTTAATTAAATTTTAAAACAATAAACCCCTTTAGCCCCTTAATATATTTTATATGAATTGCGAATACATTTAAACTGTTGGTTTGGGAATGATTTTAAGTGACGATTTATAAAATAGTAGATGATTAAATTAGATCGTTATAGATGCATATACAATAGTAATATTGGTTATAATTTTTTAATGATAAATTCAAAGCTTTAAATTTTTTTTATAATTGCAATTATAAAGAAAGCGGTAGGTCACTGGTTCGAGTCCAGTTCGAGGGAAAAAATTTTTTAATTTTTCTTAAATTCTAAATTAAAATAATGCGGTGGCCCTAAATAAATTTTTCGAAATGATTCAATCGGGTCAACTTCGATGTAACTCGTATTTTTTACTCAATTTATGTTCTATGGAAATTATTTTTTAATTTGAAAAAAAAAACTATTGAACTATTAGGTCCTTTTCGTTTACTTAATATTTTTTCATTTTTTTCCGTATATTATAAGAGAAATGAGCAATTAAAGTTAATTAAATTGCTCCTTTTTCTATAATATACGGAAATCAAAATGAAATTCTTATAATATTCAGTTCTTCGAACTGAAACCTTAAAAATATTTTTTTGCATACAATGTAGATCTTTAGTAATTAAAAACTTAACTTTTGCGGAGTGGTTCAAGTTCAAAAAAAAATTTTTGAAATTTATTTTAATTTGTGTATGCAAAAAGTATAAAAAAAAGCAATTCTTTTTATTCTGTGTATAGTCATTTGTTGCTCTTAGTTCTCCGTATATCTTGTAAGACTTAACAATAGATTTAAAAAAAATAATCATAACTTCAATTCCGAGTTGAAATTTGAACTTTTAATAATTTTCCAAAATTTCGACGAGAAATTTTAAGGTTTGACTAAATTTTTTATTAAAATGAAAACAGACAAAAACCTTCATTTCAATCATATTTATACTAGGTACTCAAAAACAAAGAAGAGTACCATCATTTATTAAATCTTAGAAATCAGAAGTTGGACAGACGTGATTCGAAATCGCATTCCTGTATTTTAATAAATAATTTAAGTATAACCAAAAAAATTTGAAAATTTGGCGTGGGTCACTTTTGAGGGTATGTTAAGTTGAAAGGAGTTATGGTTCTTTAGAAATTAGAACTTCACTAACAATGGCTAATCTTCATTAAAACGTAAAAATTAATTTTTCTACTATAATTCGAACCCATTTAGCTCAAATTTATAAGTATAAACTTATTTAGTACATATTTTTCTATGCAAAAGTGGACTTACAATAGAAATTCAAATTTTTAGATAAAAAATTTATCTTTCTTAGAGGAGCTCTGACATCTTTGAAGCCCAGCTATCGACTTCATTCAAAAGCGTACTCCTTGATCCTCTACTGAATTTAAAAGACAAAAAAAAAAATCCAAAAGGTGGCACCATTCTTATGGACCCTACCTTTTGGGCAGGGTCTTTAACTATTGTATTTTTCTTTGACAAAATTAAAGAATACCTTTTTTGAATCATGCCGGCTTGATATCTCACTGTCAACACATTTTGTGATTGGAGTCCCTGCCAAATTAAAAAAAATCATTACTGTATTTGCAAAAATTATCATTATTATTATCGAGGTGTAAAAATTTAGCTCTGTGAATTATTGCTGGTTTTATTTGGTATTATTCGGTATATTCTGGTGGTTCTAAAAGTATTTTAAATATAATACTAAATTTGAGCTCAATTGATACTATTTATTCTTGTAAACTTGTTACTTTTCCAATTTTAACCAATTTGTAGGGTTTTCCACAAGAATAAGCATATGAACCATATACATTGTGATTTGTTTAGGTCTGACATTTACAAAAGTTGCCATAAAGAGCAGAAATGGAGCATCACTTATTTCCAATTTTAAGTTAGCAAGCGAAATTGCTTTCATTTACGGAAAGATGTAACTATTTAGCTTGAAGTGGGAAAAATTTTAAAACTATAGCCACACTCGTATTGTAAACTAATAACCATTTAATATTTCCATATACTGCAAAAAGAGTACTTTTTAAATCACAACTCGCGATATATACGAATTACTAACATTTCACATTTCAGAAAAAAATTGTAAAATCACTTTACAAATTAGTATAATTTTACTACTTTAGAAGAACCATACTTCAGCAATGGTAAAGTGGTTATGCGACTGGTTCTTCAGACGAAGGGTCTTGAGTTTAGTTTTTAGTGGCTTGTCCAGGTCATTATGAAAATTATGTCAAGTATGTGCAACCTAATATCCAATATTACAATTAAAACGAGAAAAAAATGACCGTGTCAACTCTGTGATACCCGTACGAATTTATTATCCTATGTGCGAGTAAATATGCCATAGCTGACTCAAGGACGGACTATGACTTTAAATTGCCGTATTATCTATATTAATTTTTATGGCCAAAGTACTACCGAAGTTGTATGGGAGCTACCACAAGGAATCATGAAGAAATTTCAATCCTTTTTATCACACATAACAGCCCTAATAATACACTTGTTTTCACGAAATTTCTATATTACAGATTCAATAATTTCTGAGATAATGCCAAATAATTTTTGGAGCTGTGTAACAGCTATCACAAGTGCCCATGAGTTCTCAACAACTTTGAAATTTCATAGCAGCTATATTCAACAATGAATAAAACTGCTATCTTACTTGACTTTATTTTGCAAAATTTCAGTACTGTAGGTTGAACTCTTTTTAAGATATAGACAAATAACTTTTTCAGTTTAATGGAAGCTACCAAAAGGAGCCAAACAATTTCAATGACTTTTGTCAAGCACAACATTTATCAAGCACATTGGTCCTACTAATATATTCGTTTGTGGCAAATTTCAATATCACAGCTTTTATAATTTCTGAGATATAGCCAAATAACTTGCGAAGTTGTATAGCAGTTACCAGAAGGATCCAAGCAATTTCAACAACTTTTGTAAAACACATTGGTCATGCTAACATATTTACTTGTACGAAATTTCAATACCCCAACTTTCGTAGTTTCTAAGATATACTCAAATAAATTTTAAAGTTGTATGGCAGCTACCCGAATCAGTATCCCGATCATGTTCATTTTATTTAAATAGGGTTCTGGCACTTACTACAATAAATTATTGGTGAACTTATCTTAATTAGTTTTTGAGTTATCGCTGGGACGGAAGGACGAACGGACAGACAAAACTATATCGACTGAGAATTCGACGCTGATCAAAAAGATACACTTAAGTCCATATCTCAGGCCATTATTTCTCAGCGTTAGAAAGGGTAAGGCAAATTTAGTATACCTTTCGAACATACGTTCGTACGGGTATAATAATTGCTGTATGCTCATAATATTACAATAATAAAACAAAATTAAATAAAAAAAAAACTGTGTAGACAACTTTCAATATACATATAATAAAAAGAAAAACCTTCGGCATGCTAGTAACTCGCCCAACTAATCCAATGAACTAAACTAAGGTATGTCTCTATTATGACGTCATGTAACAGACTTTTACTCTATTTAGTAGTGAAAAAAGTGAAATAAAATGAGAGTGAAATAAAGTTGGGTCAAACCAATGGTTTGTATTGTAGCACTTTTCCATTCAACAAGTGAGAATTCTGCTTTTAAATACAGTCTATGTATACCTATCACACTATTAAAATTATTATCATTCATATACAAAACTATTTCTAGGATTGCATATATTTAGGATGACGCATATATGCAGTCTTTCAAATAAAGCAAAACTTAATATAAAGTGGGGTTAACATAATGCTCGATTTTAAGGTCTAATTGTGCGAGTTAAGAAAAATAATTATATTTTTTAATGTCATGAAATTTACCGTTAGCTTTTTGTGTTTATAGAAATTTGAAAAAGCTTGCGGTTTCGGAAATATAAGGTGTCAAAAATTCAAATTTTACAAATTTCAAGGGGCGATAACTTGAGAGGGGGTGGAGATGGAAAAAAAATTTCTTCTATCGAAATAAACTATTTGTTAGTGTCTAAAAGTCCCCAAAATTTCAAACTTCTACAGGCTGGGGTCTAGAAGAAAAACGAAATCAAAAATTTGAAAAAAAAGGACTTTAGATAACGGTAAATTTGAACGGCCATTTTATTTTTCTAAAGTTTAACTATAGTATATCGCGCTAGGGGAAGCAAGCCACTGCCTTTCTGCGTTTGCAAAATTTCAAAAATGCTTATGGTTTCATTGCAACAAATATTTAAAAAAGGCCATTTTTAGGGTTTCGGGGGGGTATATCACCTATAGGGGGGGTGGGGGAGATAGGTAAAAATTTTGTTCTACGGAAATAAGTTTCTAGTGAAAATCTATGTACGTATGAAATTTCAGCTTTCTATCTTAAAGGGTGTAGAAGTTTTGTAAACAAAAAAAGTGTCCACGGACGGACGGACGGACGGACAGACGGACAGAGTGAAACTAATAAGCACTTTTTTTCAAAATTTTTTTGGAAAAGTGCTAAAAATTACACTGACTGCCACATTTTCATTAAAGAGTGCATATATCATAATCGAGAAAATGGCGTGAAAAATTAAAAACTTTAAAAAATATGAAATTACTAATCTTTTGCAAAAAGTTTGAAATAATTTATTAACTGCGAAATACGAGTATTGTGTATCTAGCGATTTGTATTCGATTAGTTTTATTATTGATTTTAATTTTTTTATTGAATTTAATTTTTTAAGACAATTTCAATTTAATTAATAATTTAAATTAAATATAATTAAAATTTAAGATAATCTGATTGCGAATTTTTAGTTATGCAATAAAATTCAAAAATTTATTTTTAGTCTGATTACATACAATATTCATCGCAGAAATGGATAGGATGTCTTACAGAATGAAAAAAGAAATGAAACGAGCATGCGAAATTAAAAAAAAAGAGTTCGAAATTTTTATAAATTGTAAGAATTATCCCTAACAGCAAAATTCAAAAATTAATAAATACACAATTTTAAGTGAACTTTAGAAAAAAAAAAGGAATTTTTTTCCCCTAAATAAAAAAGGAAATTGATCGTCGTTAAAAGAGATCAGTAAGTTTTATTAAGAATTAAAAAGGCACAAAATCCAATTGATGAGTGCTGAGTGTCTTTAACAAAATTATTACAGTATAGTAAAGCAATCACATTCAGCAAAACGAAATCGCGCAGTCATTACAATATTTGTCGATTTTTTTAGCGGAAAATTTGTCGATAATATTGACGAAATTCACTGTATACTGACGATGCAGAATTTGTGTATCAATTAATTTTTAGCAGAAGTATTGAAAGCGCAGCAAAAATATTTTGTAACTGAATACACTCTAATTGAAGGGAATTATTTTAACACCCGATTAATTTAGTACATATTTATTAGTATTTAGTACATATTTGTTTATGCAAAAGTGGACTTACAGTAGAAATTTAAATTTTTATATGCGAAATTTGTCCTTCCTAGAGGAGCTCTTACATCTTTGGAACCCAACTATCGACTTCATTCAAAAGCGTACTCCTTGATCCTCTAATGAATTTAAAAAACAAAAAACAAATCCAAAAGGTGGCACCATTCTTATGGACCCTACCTTTAGGGCAGGGTCTTTAACTATTGTACTTTTCTTTGACAAAATCAAAGAATACCTTTCTTGAATCATGCTTGCTTGACATCTCACTGTCAACATATTTTGTGATTGGAGTCCCTGCCAAGTTACAAAAAATCATTACTATTTTTGCAAAAATTATCATTATTATTATCGAGGTGTAAAAATTTAGCTCTGTGAATTAATGCTGGTTTTATTTGGTATTATTCGGTATATTCTGGTGGTTATAAAAGCATTTTAAATATTATAATACTAAATTTGACCTATGTAAATTGATACTATTCATACTTGTAAACTTGTTACTTTTCCAATTTTAACCAATTTGTAGGGTTTTCCATAAGAATAAGCATATGAACCATATACATTGTGATTTGTTTAGGTCTGACATTTACAAGAGTTGCCATAAAGAGCAAAAATGAAACATCACTTATTTCCAATTTTAAGTTAGCAAGCGAAATTGCATTCATTTACGGACAGACGTAACTATTTAACATGAAGTGGAAAAAATTTTAAAACTATAGACATACTCGTATTGTAAACTAATAACCATTTAATATTTCCATATACTGCAAAAAAGTACACTATAAATCACAACTCGCGATATATATGAATTTCTAACATCTCACATACCAGGAAAAAAATTCTAAAATCACTTTACAAATTGGTATAACTTTACTACTTAAGAAGAATCATACTTCACCAATGGTAAAGTGGTTATGCGACTGGTCCTTCAGAGGCCTGTTCAGATAACTTTGAAAATTATGTCAAGTACTAGCAACCTAATATCCAATATTACAATTAAAATGAGAAAATATTGACCGTGTCAACTCTATAATACCCGTAGGAATTTGCTATCCTATTGTCGAATAAATATGCAACAGCTGTCTAAAGGAGCTACCACAAGGAATCAAGAAGCTTCAACCATTTTTATCACACATAACAGTCCTAATAATGCACTTGTTT